ATATTCTGTGTTGAAAATGTAGTTTCCTTGCTAAATATAGAAACACAGGGACATAGTGAAAGATTGATACGTTTGGGAGTTGGTGAATAGGAAGAAGCCTGATTATCAGATACTTCGCAATAGAAAGTCTATCCTAATCGCTGTTGGATCAAAACCCAACAGAAATGTAGCTCTCTGAGACCTTATTATTTCAATGAAAGAGTTGAACGTTTTCCTAGCTGTCCATTTAAACCTGGAATTTTAACTAGGACTGGATTATGCTCAGCATTCCTCAGATATAATCAATGTTACTCCAGCCAAGTGGTTCTCTGGGACATTATATAAAGATTAGTGAATAATGATTCTTCTTTCTAATATTTTAACTCTTAAAGGTATTGTCCAGCATTGACTCGATCATCAGAAGCCCAAGAAGAGCTCCTCTAATAACACTTATGCAAAAAAAGGACCTTGGGAAAAGCTGGGCTGAGGAGGAACGTGGATTTGAGCATCTCCCTGCTGTGATTGAAACCTGGGCTGACCAGCTAATGGCCCTGAAGGTACTGGTGATCTTTGACTGCTCTCTTCGGCCTAGGGACCTACCCCTGTCCCTGGTTCTTCCAGTGTACATCCTTTGTGTTTTCCACATATCTTTGTACCCATTTTCAATGTAATTTAATTGTAATTTCAACATGCAAGTAATTAAATAATAAGCAAATGTATTTCACAGCAAATACTTTTTTACACTTTATCCTGAGAAGTCTTTCTCTCACCTGATTTAAAATGATTTGATTTTAAACAAGGAGAAGGATACAGGGGACCTGGTTTTCCCATAGTATCGTTTTAAATTCTTACATTGAAAGCCCAAAAGAATAAGAGTAACACATCAACATCTTTCTTTTGTTCTTTCAAGATCTTGCACTACTCCCTGAAAAAGCTATTGCTGCGGTTAGTTCCTAGGCATTCCAAAGCTATGCAGGACACTAATGAATATATTAGAGTTGAGGATCTTCAGCAAATAGTGGAGGAAATCTCTGAAGAAGTAGGCAATGAAGAAAAGGTAATCTTCAAAAATTCTGATTGTTCATTCTTAGTCTATTGTGTTTCCTTACCTATGTGGAAATATTATAATAATAGCTTGTCATTTTGGTCCTTAAGTAGATATGCATTCATTTGTATGTAATGCAGACTTATAATGATTTTAATTTAGAAAATTAAGATCATTATTCTATTTAGAAAACATCACCCTAGTTCTTTTCCAGTTATTATATCTGGGAGAATCAAGATTTTAGACAGAATGCATCCCCAGGCTTCTATTATGTTTAATCAGGATTGAAATGATCATCTGGCTCCTTTTGTTTTTATTCATATCCTACAGAAAAGTCTGATTCCTTCACAACAAATCCTGTATGCCATTGTCTGTCATTTTCAAAAACTATTTGATGTGAAGACTCTAAGTGGCGTTTACCCTCGAATGAACGAGGTATATACAAAACTTGGTGAAATGATCAACGCTATGAGGAACCTCTGTGACCTCTTAGAACTAGGTAATAATCTGTTGCCCCTTCTCTAGCCTGCTCAGAGTCAGACCATGGTGATGTGGGGATGAGGAAAAACTCAACGGTGTTCTTTGAGAGTGTGTGTGTGTCAGGGGTGGGTTCTGGCTTCTGCTACTGCCAGTTCGCTTAGGGACGTGCTGCACATTAGTAAAAAAGCATGCTTCTGTGCATGCGCAGAAGCAAAAAACAAGAATGTAGTGCCTATGGCGCCGCGGAGAGAACCGGTTCAGGGTGTGGCAGGCCAAGTTATTACCTACTCAGCTGAACCAGCCCGAACTGGTAGGAACCCAGCTCGTGTATGTGTGTGTGTGTGTGTGTGTGTCTGTATATTGAAAGGACATGATAATTTACCATAGGTTTTGCAGGAAGAGAATGGCTGCCATAAAAATTTTAGCTCGGAGAAATGCTTTTCCTGCATCTTAAACTTAATTGCAAATGTACTTGAATTGAAATAAAAGTTGAGAATGGAATAATAAAATACAGAACACGGCACCAAATCATATTGAATTCTACATATTTTGTTTAGTTTCATTTTAAAATTCAAAGTTTGGTCACACACAAACCCAACAAAAGCATGTTGCAAAAGACCATTAAATGCAGCGCCAGATTTGCCATTGACTCTCTGGGATTTATGGATTTTTAAAACCCATGTAAAGCAATAATTCTGCAGCTCCCGGGACTCTTATTACATGGGCAAAATAAAGACTGGAAATATATATTGGAAGAGATCTGATATCTCCTTTGTTATGTCCCTACAGAAAAGCCCATCATCTTTTGAGATGTAGAAGGATAAATGGGAAGCAGGTTAAAATTGTCATATATTTCTCATGTGCATCTTGTTCGGTTCCTTCCCTTATTTTAATTGTATATTATTATTATTTACAGTTTTATTATTTACTGGCTTTTAATTTTTGTAAGCCACCCAGAATCACCTCTAGACAAAATGAGTGCCATACAAGTTTAATCAGTCAATAAATTACTCGAGTAAATCCATCCAATCTCCACACACAGTCCTAAATTCTTTTTCTGATAATCCTACAGCTATTCTAAATGCATTTTTTCCTCATTGTCTATAAAAGAAGGTTTTCTTCCTGTAAAGAAATGACAGGAAGGAACCTTCTACCATCTCATCCTGTTGGCATGAACCAAGCCAACCTTGTAAAATATCAGGGCCTCCAAAATAACAGGATTGCTCTGTTAATCCTGTTGGTCTTATCCTTCCACTATCAGCACCACAATCACTTTAATGGGTTATTGGTTTCGCCTTCCCATTAAAAACTGTGACGTGCTTGTCTTGCACAACATTTTCCCGTGTTGCTTAGTTTGGATATTTGAGTTGGCAGCCATTTCAAGGAGTTTGCTGTTTCATTTGCTCCCACTTTTATTGCTTGTGAAATGTTGCACAGAAACTGATACAACATTTCTTCATAGATTGCTCAGCACCACCTAGTGTCCTGGTGAACACTGTTGGAAAGCTATGCAATTTGTTTAATGAGAATGTGGCCTGGCAGGTGGAACAACTGCTGGGTACACAGGACATCGAAAGGTATGTTGAACTTCATAGTTAACTAATAGTAGCTTTACAAAGACGCCTTTAGCCCTACATTCTAAGTGCATAATGGAGAACGGTGTGATGCCCTGTCAGGTATTTGAAGAACACTGTCACGACCATCACAGTCATTTTATTCAAGGCAAATCTTAGAAAGCTTTTCCAGTTTTTATCGGGCTTAATTTCTAGTGGCCTGATCCTCTTTGCCTTTCTCTGAACATCTTCCATTTTCTCACAGTGCTTCTTAAAAGTAGGATGTCCAAAGGTCTACATGGACCCTTTAGATGATATCTGATCGTAGGAGAAGGGAAGGGAATGCTTCATTCTTGTGCTTAAGTATTCCTGTGAAATCACAGTTAATCTTCACTTGATACTAATTGGGAATGGCAACTCTGTCCCTAAAGATAAGGTCATAAAGCATGATGTCACATGGCCACACTAATTTATTATTGCAGTTGAAGCCGTTCCAGTTGCCATTAGTAAGTGAATGCCACACAATGTCCTGCGATCATGTGGCCCCCATTTGCAACTTCCTACTGGTTTCTCCATTGACTTTGCCTGTTGGAAACTGGCCATGAAGTTCACAAATGGTGATGACATGACTGTGAATATTGTGATCCTCTTAATTACCAGCGAGTTGCTGAGTGCCTGAATCACAGTCATGTGAATGTATGGATCCTGTGACAGCTGCAACTACATATCCCCTCATTCAAAGCCATTGTAACTTCAAACGGTCACTGAATGAGTGATAGCTGAATGAAGATTACCTGTAATTTTTGCTGATAAGAGTTTAAAACTACATTTGTCTTTTTTGCAGCCACATTGCACTGCTATCTCATACTATCATTCATCTCCTCCCACTAATGACTGCAGGACTGTAACTTTGTTGCTTGTATCATTATGATTTATATTGATATTGTTTCCTGATTGCTTATTAGTACCCTATGACTATCATTAAGTGTTGTACCTTATGATTCTTGATGAATGTATCTTGTCTTTTTATCTACACTAAGAGCATATGCACCAAAGATAAATTCTTTGTGTGTTCAATCACACTTGGCCAATGAAAAATTCTATTCTATTCTATACTCACTTTGCAATCAACTATAATCAGTTGATCATCGTGATAAGATTAGGGCTTGTTGTTTAAATGACAAAATGAGAGAATGAATGTTTGTCAAATTGATATTTTTCAGCATTATCTTTAAATTAGAAGAACATGATGACTTTTTCCCAGCATTTCATGCTCTTATTAACAACTTGCTTCGTGTTCTAGGTAAGCACTTTCTGTAAATTAATGATAATAGAGTGGCCAAGGCTGTCAGTACATTATTACAAATGGATTTTGTTTTCACCGGGATTTAAGGGCAACATTTAACTTTTGAACTATATCTCAAAACAAATGTATAATCATGTGGGATTGTCCTGGTAAATCAATGTTGTATATCCCACGTCAAAAAAATATGATCAAAGGCTACCCAAAGTTATTGCTCAATTGTAATTTTAATACATATCTAGAAAGTAGTATTATAAATAAATTAAAATGGTAAAATAGTTTTTCCCTCTTTGTATCCTTTCTTTTTTGGAATATATACCTACATGCTATATACTCTTACTGTCAGAATCAAGTAGAAAGTGATCTTAGGATCGTTTAGCAAAATTCATGGTAATTATATAAAGATTGTACACCTGGTGTTTTATATTGACTGCTTATTTTATTCGGGATTGTCAACCAGGGGTGGGTTCTGGCAGAGACTACTGCCGGTTTTCTCAGGGACACACCGTGCATGCACATACACAAGCAAAAAACAAGAAAACTGGTTCAAGGGTGCTGCTGGTTCCAGTGACCCAGGCCACCAAGTTACTACTGGTTCGGCTGAATCAGTCCAAACCAGTTGCCAACCATTCAGCAGGACAATTCAGTCATGATGTTGCTGTAAATGATATGCTGTGACTGCATCTTTTGAGAGGCTCGGGGCATTTGCTTTGAAAGCATTTGAAGGTCTTCCCAGGACCCCAAAGCACTTCCCCTTCGATTGCCACTGAAGGTTCCTTGTTTTTTACTGCCATTTTCATTGGAGGAGTCCACTGTGAATGTAGGCGAGATGACCTTGGAAAAAACCCTGAAATAGCCATGTTTAACCTTCATGTAGACATGCTTTTATGAATTGCAGCAATATTGCAACCAAACAACCTTTCTGTTTCAGAAGCTGATAAATGTAATTTAAGAAATCCTTAGAATGTATATTCAACCCTAGTCATTTTGAGTGTAGGGTTTTATTTTATGCACACTGGAGTTTTGATTAACTAATTGATTATAGCCTGGTTTGTTTATAGTTTACTTCTGAAATGTAATGGAAATTTTACGTACTTTACAAAGAAAGTATAAATATAGAGCCATACCTTTTAAGTATTCCATTGGATTTCTAAAAATAGGTGACTATTGAAAAGGCAAAATAACGTTTGCAAAATTGCTTTTGTTTCAGAAGTCAGAAGTCTCACAGAAATATTACCTGCTGTACAGAAGCTGAAATGGATGGTCCAATAATGTAAACTAAATGTAAATCTTTTAACATATTGACTACCTCTTATGTATTTTTGAATATTTTTTTATTAAAAATGTCTGAATGGAATCAAAAATGTGTTATTTGCTTTCAATATCATAGGACCCAAGTTTTCAAAGCTGATTAATGAGGAGTATTAATGAATAGAATATTGGTAGTTAATAACTCATAAGCAGCTACTATATCATAACTTAGTTTATTCCTTAAAAGCACATTACATCTGTAATTTAGACAAACAGCTTCTGGATTAGATTCTTTGGCATAAATAATGTAAAACATGGTCTGTTTTATGTACAAAATTTAAGGCAATGATTAGATACTAGAGCATTGGCCTCTTTGTCAGTCATCCCCTTTCCTTAACCCTTTGGATCATTCAAAAAGAATCAGAGCATCCCTTAGAACAGGATTCAATGAAATGTGAGGAAATGTTGCTTGAAGGACTCTAGTTGCAGGGATGAAGGGTTTTTTTTATCTCTTCACGTCCTAGAAAAAGAGGGTTTAATCCAGGCTAAAAAAAAGTATGTTCTGTAAGCAAAACTAGCACACCCGTCAATGTGATTTCAAAATGATGTGGACCCTCGTTTACTTGTGGCACTTTATGTGATGGGATGGAGCTGGGAGGAAAAACTAGGCAGCAACAAAGAGTGCTTGGTCAGTAGAGCCTGAGAATATGGAAAGTGGAACCGTCTGCCTCAGGATGCCACCTGTCTTTGGTCCATCAATTGGAGAACTCCTCAAGTACGCATTTACTATTACAAACTTTGCTGTTAAAAGTTAAATGCAGGATGACGCCAAATTCATCCCTTGAAAAAGTCAGAATTTTAAGAAATTGATAGTAATGTGTTAAATAAGTTAAGCATTACTGAAGTATAAACATTTACAAAAGCTTATAGCGGCCTTCAAAGTTCTAAATATACATGAAGTGCTGTTGATCAGATGTGATGGAATCAACTCTGGGGCTGTCCATTTACTGTCAACTGATACCTATTAAAAAAAAAGTGGTATGATGAGTTAAGACAGATACTCCTCCACTAACTAGCTAGCTATCCCAATGGAATTCATCTCGTCTGACCTAGATGTGATTGCATTATCTGGCAGTGTGAGGGTGAAATTATCAGCTGAATAAAGCACAATTAAATGACTGTATTGGTCTAGTTATCTTAAAAACAGCTTTCTAGATACCGCTTCCTACCATGTTTCCCCGAAAATACAAAATACAACCTGTCCTGAAACTAAGGCCTTGCCATTTTTTTTCGTGTGGGCAAAAATATAAGCCCCCCCTGAAAATAAGTCCCACGGACAACCCCCCCCCACAGCCAGCCAGAACACTGCTCACTGACCTAGCGGTCTCCCCAAGGCGACAAGCCGTGGGGGCACGGGCGGGAAAAAGGTACTCATGTTGCTTGCTGCCTTCCGGATACTGCTAGGTTGGGGAGTGGCATTCTGCCTGGCCTGAGGGGGGAGTTGCCAGGCAGCTGCTCCCTTGCAAGCAGACTTCCAAAGAGTCGGGAAAAGCCTCAGGGATGAAGCAGCCATGAGGTGACCATGCTCATCAGCAGCTGCCCGGAAAACCCCCTCTAGCCGGGCAGAGCTCCATTCACTGGCTTAGGGGGTATCCCTAAGGCGCCAAGCCACATGGTGCTCTGCCCACCCCCCAGCTCCCACTGGCACATTCGGGATACCCCCTAGGTCAGTGCATGGAGCTCTGCCCAGCTGGAGAGGGTGGCTGCGCAAGTGCCTGTTCCTCCCCCAGCTCGCATGCCTTCCAGCCTGACCATACCCTGGCCCAGCTCTCCCTGCAGGGCCAGGGTGCCACCGCCGCTTTTGCTGCTGCCACTGCGCTTCAAGCAAAACTTGTTCTCCAGCTTCCAAACTCCGGAACTCGGCTTCCAATTCTTCCAGCTTCCGGCCGGCTGCCATAAGGCCCACAACCATAGAGCGCACTCCTAGAGTGTCCGTTGCTGGAAGAATCGGAAGCCGAGTTCTGGAGTTTGGAAGCTGGAGAAGAAGTTATGCTCAAAGCATGTCGGTGGCAGTGCCCTGGCCCTGCAGGGCATGGTGAGGCTGGGAGGCATGCGAGCTGGGGGCAGAACAGGCTCGCGCAACCACCCTCTCCAGCCAGGCAGAGCTCCATGCACTGACCTAGGGGGTATCCCGAATGTACCAAGCCACAGGAGCTGGGGGGCGAGCAGAGGGCCACGTGGCTTGGCACCTTAGGGATATCCCCTAGGACAGTGAATGGCACTCTGCCCGTCTGGAGAGGGAGTTTGCCGGGCAGCTGCTTGTGAGCGTGGTCACCTCATGGCTGCTTCACCCATGAGGCTGTGCCTGGCTGTTCGGGAGCCCGCTCGCAATGGAGCAACTGCCCAGCAACCCCAAAACAATAAGCCCTCCCCTGATAATAAGTCCCAAGCCATATTTTGTGGGTCAAAAGACAATAAGACCCTGTCTTATTTTCGGGGAAACACTGTAGTTCCAGGATCTTTTGCTAGAATCACTTAAATCACCTAAAATATTCAAAATGTTGCATCACCATTAGGCTGTTTGAAAGCAAAACGTTCAGAGTGACTAAAAAGAAATCTGTGGCCTTTTCATATTTTTCGGTGTTACTTTGTTTTCTCCCTATTTTATGAAATCAAGTTTTTAAAATTGACAATGGTGATAGCAGCATAGCTGTGGGACCAAGTCCACATCTAACTAGTACTCAAGCCATCATTTCTTGGTTTATCCAGAAGACAATTACTAAATCACACAGCTACTCAATTTCTCATGTGTTGGTATTAAAAACTTGTTTGGACGAATACTGACTGGCCAGTTATCACAGTGATCTTAACATTCCTCTCAATAGCAAAATTAAACAGATAGCAAGATTGCAATTTGAGTGATTGCTGAATTCTACAGAAAGCAAAGGGGTGGAATATTGTAAAGCACAGCCTAAACATATGAAGTGAAATTCTCTCTAGATTTTCCACTGCCTCTTTTAGGAGGGAGAGGAACTCATATTTGAAACAAGCAATTATTATTTCTTCTGCTCAGTCCATTCTGCACTATCCAGCTCTAAGAGTTAATCCTTTCATTGCATCTGGCCCAACTTGATAGGTTGCATTGCTACCTTTTTACATGCTGACCATCCAAACATACCATTGGGAGAATCCCTTGACTAAATCTTCCTTTGATAAGTCAATCAGCACCTTTAAAAAGAAAAGTCAGAACTGTTAAGCTGCTTAATTAAATATTAGAGTTACAAGTACAGGGTTTTAAAAAATAAAGTTTAAAGTATATTTCCACATATAAACTGCCTAGCCAGTTCATAACACAGTACTGCTATTTACTGTATGTCTCTTTGTATTTTTAAAAAACATTTCATCTAAAGCAGGGGTCATCAAATTACAGCCCATGGGCTTGATACTGCCTGCCGAAGCCATTAATCTATCCGCCTTCTGGAGGCCGGGGAGACCAAAAACAGGACGTGCAGAGGTCTCTGGAGGCCAAAAAGGTACTGGAGGCAAGGAAGGCCAAAAATGGGATGTGTGAAGTCCTCGGGAGGCCAAACACAGGTTTGTTTTTTTGCCTCAAGAGAGCAAAACAAAGTTTGTGTGTATTGTTTGGACTGCTAAATTTTAATAGCAATAGCAATAGCAGTAGACTTATATACCGCTTCATAGGCCTTTCAGGCCTCTCTAAGCGGTTTACAGAGAGTCAGCATATTGCCCCCAACAATCTGGGTCCTCATTTTACCCACCTCGGAAGGATGGAAGGCTGAGTCAACCCTGAGCCGGTGAGATTTGAACCGCTGACCTGCTGATCTAGCAGTAGCCTGCAGTGCTGCATTTAACCACTGCGCCACCTTGGCTCTTATTGACCACGTCCATCCAGTCACATGACCACCTAGCCATGCCCATCCAGCTGGTCCTGCCCCCCAAAAGTCTGAGGGACCATGAATTGGCCCCCTGTTTAAAAAGTTTGAGGACCCCTGCTCTAGAGAGTAGCAACATTTTGAAGTTATAGAGCAATCCATAGTTATTGCCAAAATAATTTGTATGGCAAGTTCTTTCTTCAAGTGTATAAGGGTGGAGGAAGTAAATCCACAGGAAGATGTGAATAGCATCTTTTAAAGAGGATCTTACCTTTCCAAGTTCTTTCCTTTCATGTGAAATAAGTGACTTTCTGTTTTTCACAGCTACATCTAAGGCTCGTTTCTTAATGTCTTCCAAGGTGTCATTAAATTCAAATCTAAATGTATGAAAAAAATGCTATATAAATAGCAATCCTCTAATGCAGTGGTTCCCAAACTTGGCAACTTTAAGACTTGTGGACTTCAACTCTCAGAATTGGTGGGAGCTGGCTGGAGAATTCTGAGAGTTGAAGTCCACAAGTCTTAAAGTTGCCAAGTTTGGGAACCACTGCTCTAATGCAGCCATTCCCCAAGCTTTCTGGATTGGGGGACTGGCAGGATGGAGAGGGGATGGTTCCATGTGAATGGCAGGTGCATGGGCTGCACTCACATAAATAGAGCTTTGCATGCCCATGCACACTTGCCTGCTGCTTGCTCTTAAAGTTCTGGTTTTTTATACACTATATTTCTGTTTATTTATATTCTACCTTTATTTTTTTATACATAATTCAAGGCGGTGAACAAACGTAATATTCCTACCTCCTCCTATTGTCTCCACAACAGTCCTGTGGTGTTGGACTGAGACAGACTAACTGGCCCAAAGTCACCCAGCTGGCTTTTTTGATTTCTCAAATTCAAAATTTGAGATTATAGAAAGTGGAATTATAAAGGTCATATTTTCATTTACTTAATTACTGCACAATCTGTAGATCAGTGTTTCTCAACCTTGGCGACTTTAAGTCCTGTGGACTTCAACTCCCAGAATCTGGGAGTTGAAGTCCACAGGACTTAAAAGTCGCCAAGGTTGAGAAACACTGCTGTAGATAGTGATCTTTCTTTCTCAAGCCGAAAGGCAATAAGTGACTCCAAATCCTTTTTGCATCTAAGAATCACGGGTGATATGAATGTTGCACCTAGGACTGGATGTTTTGAAAACGGTGCCAGAGAAAAGCTGTGACCCTAACAATAAAGTAAAACTTAAATTGAGCTCTAATTACGTCACCTAATGAGTATTGCATATTTTTGACTACCATTATGGGGATATCAGGTGCAACATCTAGGCCTCAGCAGAAAGCAATGTCATTACAGCATTTACTTACTTCTCATCGTACCGAGGATTCAGTGTTCTTTTTTTCACAGTAGTTCTTCTTCGGGTTATCCATCTTTTGTCTGGGAGCAAGTAGATGCGAACATATGGATATGCTCCATGCCGAGAGCATGGCAGTAAATTTCTTATGGGTAGAAAATGGTAGCATATTTACAATCAACAGACTGAGAAAAACTTCTGAAGGAAAGATTCGGTCAGGTTAACCTTTTTCTTGAATTTGAACAACAGCAGCAGCAGCAACAAAAACTTAGAGGATCTTTGTCCATAATAGGCTATTTTTACGATAGAATTGCTACTAAAATTGAGCTGCATTGAATTGAAATATATAAACGGTCCAGCACTTGCAGTTCTCTGAACAATCAGGAACCCAGTTTAGAAGAGTTTTTCAGTGGGCATATGTATGCAATTACATGGGGAAAAACCCCAGAAGCTTCAACTGGACCGGAATCGAAGGTGGGTTTCTGTTGGTTCGCCTGGGATTGGGCAAACTGGTAGTGGTGGCGGTAAGAGGCTCCGCCCACCCACCCGGATGCTTCTGCACATGTGCAGAAGTGTCGCATGCAGTGCACGCATGAGCCAAGTGGTAGCAAAATGAATTGAAACCCAGCACTGACTAGAATGCAGTTATGCCCACATGATACCTCTGCTTTGTGAGCTACGCTGGCTGCTGTTTCCTTCTAGGTACAATTCAAGGTATTGCTTCTTACTTATAAAGCCCTATGGGGCATGGGGTCTGGTAACATGAAGGACCCTTTGTCTCCCATAATATCTGCCCAGACAATTTGATCTTGCAGGATAGGTGCATTCTAGGATCTTTCAATTACGCTATGCCTGAAGTGCACCTTCTCTGTCACTGCACAGAGAACCTCTGGATTGAAGTTCTCTTGGGATCTGAATGCCCCCACTTGTTGGTGTTTCAAAAGGCCCAGAAGACGTGGCTCTTCGCTCAAGCCTTTGATGGGGATGATTGAAGCCTCCTTTTAACCCAGGTTACTTTCTTTGGTTTCCATCTGCTTTATTTTTCTGCCATCTACCAATTTCATTGTTTCTTGTTGTTTTTCATGTCTTGTTTTTCATGTTTTGGATAATTTGTAAATGGCCTAGAATTGTTGGGAGTTGAGCACCATATAAATTTAAACAACAACAAGCTGTTCAGCCAACAATAGTTGCAGACTGATTGGAGGATTCAATCTAGAAAATTTAGAAAGGGAAACTGCTATGGATATATTCATTCCATTAAGCAAAGATTAAAGTAAAATAATTGCAATTGTACCCAAGATGTGTTAAGGGAAATCCAAATATGAAAAAGAATAGTATATCTCTCAGAACAAAAACATAGATGGATTGCTAAATATTACTGTACCTGCATGAGTTGACCAACACAATGAGAGATTGCCTTAAGGAAGCATACCGAACAGTGATGTGAATCTCTCCCATAGACCTTCCATCAGAAAGTGTCCCACTGCAAGATAATTGGCTTTATTAAAGGAAGTTCATGACTGAAGCAGCCAACTACTTCCTGCTTGCTTCAAAGCCAAACTTCAAGTCTAATCCCATGGAAGAGTTAAACTTTTTTTGTCGTTTGATATTATAAACAGATTTTAGAGGGAAAAACAACACCATTAGAAAGAGAAAAGAAAGAGATGCTTGTGCATTTTATTGTACAGGAGTGAAGCTGCCTTTAAATCACTTCCCAAAGGAAGCTTTTTGTATTTCAGCCAAGATATACCTCTTGGTAGTTGTGGCAATTAATTTTTCTCTCTCTGGTGCATTTCAGTATATTCCAAAACTAAACTAATATTAAAAGAAAAACTTTAGTCGCGGCGGTATACATTTTTCTAATATTAAGAAAAGCAATTAAGACCTGGATATTTCAAAAGGCCTTTGAAGAGAAAAGGATTTAAAAGGGATTTGTTGCTGTGTTAACAGTATATGGGTCATGATTCCTCAGCATAGGAATATTTAACTATGCATATTGCTGGTCGTTTTTAGTTTTGTTCTTTTAATCTTATTTATGATTTGATTGTAAGACACTTAAACTCAGTTGAATACTGAAACAGTATACAAGCCTAGTAAAATAAAGTAATATGTAAAATTCTAACCATGGAATATTAAGAGCACTTATGCACAAAAATATAGGATACACTAAGGTGACCAGATTTTCAGATTGGTAAAGAGGGACACCATTGATGGGGGGGGGGGGGCGGGCTTGATTAAAAATTTTATTTTTTTGTCAAAAGGTCACCCCAGGACACTGAAACCAACATAAATACGAATCTGTTGCCAAACA